GTCATTTTAGTAAAACTTCTATGGTGTAGGTAGCTCTTAAGTGGCTATCGTTTTTTTGGTTTTTTTTAAAGATTTATTTATTTATCATGTATGCAGTGTTCTGCCTGCAAGTACCCCTGCACTCCAGAAGAGGGCATCAGATCTCATTATAGGTGGTTGTGAGGTGCCATGTGGGTGCTGGGAATTGAACTCGGGATCTTTGGAAAAGCAGCAGCCAGTGCACATAACCTCTGAGCCATCTCTCTCCAGCCCCCTTAAGTGGCTATCTTTATTCAACTTCCTTCAGGAGTAAAATATGCTCTATTGCCACTTCTAATACTAAATACTACCCATAACTATTCTACCAGTTGCTAATAATAGCTGCAGATACCACAGAGCAATTCGGCCAGTCCGCCTCATTTCAACAGTTTTTCCCTTTTCACTCTTAGTATCCATGAATTTATCAGTACTCCCAATTTTAAGTGAGGAAGTTTGGGCATGCCAAACAATATTTTCAACAGTAAAATGCTTAGCTTGCCCTCAATCCTGGATAGGAATCAATTCTCTAATTCAGACTTTGTTATTTATCAGAATGTTCTGTCATTTGTATTCATAAATATGGAAACCGTTTTAAGAGTTCACATTTTCATTTTTTTAGTCCCAACTGTCAGACAGCTTTATCTTGATACTCTGACTTGGTGGGTCCTGGTGTTAAGGGGAACGAGAGACTCTGTTTTGAGCCCCACTGGTCAGCCAGCATCAGGGCAACTGTTCATCTTCACAATAAACTCTTTTAGGAAGAGGTGGAGGGCTCTCCCTGCAAACGTCTGGGGCGCCACTGTCCCGAACTCTATCCTCCAGGGCTAACAGCCATCCTCTTCACTGGGGCAACAATCACCACTTCTAGTGTGAACTTCAAGATAGGCCTGTTGATTACTGACATGCTTTCTGGGGTGTGTGGGTGTGTAGGTGTTCTGCCCCTCCCTCCCGAACCCTCTGAGCTGGTGCATACAATTCTGCCCTAATTGCACATCACCTAGTCGCCTCGGGGTACACACCGGAAAGTTAACTGAGGGGTGACTTTCTGGTGATTCCGTGCTCTGGTCACACATGTTCAGTAGGTAAGCCCTGTAAACTCAACGGTTCCGCAGCAAGGGGGGCTTCCGGGGAATTGTACTTTGGTATGTCATCCGGGCCCTGTAAGGAGGGGGTAGATGTTTGTTTGCGCTCTCTTCTACGAGGGGAAAGTTTCCAAAACACCATCTAAAACGGATTGAAGGCGACCTCCTTAGTGGGGGAAATAGTAAATAGCTGAAAACTAAAAGCAATTTACCAGAGGTCGTCTTTATGTGGGTTTTGTTCTGAGACAAAGTATTTCCTCCCTCCTACAAGGGACTGCAGTTCTATGTTGGCCAGATACCTGCTGGCTCATTTCCACTGTTCAGGCATCCCATGAACAAACACATTCCCGAACCATGGTGTTGATCGATAACTTTTCTATCTATATTAAGTTGACAGCGTGAATGACGTTTCTAGCGGCCGGCGCTTGGCATCTGGTAAATAGTCCGGACTAATACAGATCACCAACGCCCAAGACGCGCGTGTCTCCCGTGCAGTTCCGTGATTTCACAGGTGCCCTGGACCCGGGTGCACATCGTCCTCCCACACCCTGCTCCCCGGAAACGCCCGGAAGCGAAGGGGCCTCTTCCCGGCAGCTCGAGTGCGGCCCTTCACGGCCTGTCCCGCTCCGCCCCGCCCCCGGCGCCCTCACTCGCCTGCAGCCGACCCGCCGCAGGGTCGCGGCCTCCTCGGGGTCCCAGGCTCGCCGCCCACACCGAGCTCGCCCGGCTCGCCGGACCGAAGGCTGCGGCTCCGGGCTCCCGCTGCCGCCCGCAGCCCCGTCCCGCTCCGCCCCCTCCGCGGGCCCCGATCCTCCCGATCCTAGGATCCGCCGGGTCTCAGCTCAGCTCTCGACTTCCGGCTCTGGGGAATGCTGGGGGAGGGGCCCAGGCCAGGAAGCCGCCCTACTCTCTGTGCTCGCGGAGTGTGGGAGGCCGAGATCTCTTCTGTTCCAGCTCCAAGAAGCCAGCGCCTTACCCTACTACGCGACATCCAGTGGAAGTCCCCCAAACTCCCCCTCGTCTCCAGCCATGCATACTCGAATGGCTTAATAAATCTTTAAAAAGAGCCTGCCTTTCCTGCGTTCACCTCTGAGGGTAAAGTTCCTTCATTCCAACTTACTTTAAAGAGTCAATATAGAACGGGACAGATGCGGAATGGTTAGGCCTGAGGTCGTCAAATTCTGCATAGAAACAGTGTGTGGCATATTGCTTGCTAGGAATGAGAAAGCACTGCAGGAGATGGATAGTCATCGTGCATATGTGTAGTGAGGGTGTCAGGAAAGTCCCCCCGTTCCTTCTGCCCCACCCCCGCCCACCCTTATACCCACTTACTGCCAGTCTTCTAATGGGCAGCAGGCCAAAGCCTTAGGGGCAAAGGTGCCACAGACAGCCCACTGCTGAGGAGCTTTTAGTGAGGCAGCGACCACAAAAGAAACACTCCTTGCTGGGAGAAAACCACCCCTTCCATCAGCTGAAAAGTACCAGGGAACCAGCAGCAGCCTGCAAAGATTGCCACAGCAACCAGGAAAAAAATTTTTAAAGATTTATTGATGCACCAGATCTCATTATAGATGGTTGTGAGCCACCATTGTATTGTGGTTGCTGGGAATTGAATTCAGGACCTCTGGAAGAGCAGCCTGTGCTCTTAACCTCTGAGCCATCTCTTCAGCCCTAGGAGTTTCTTTCTTGCCTTCTTTCCTTCTTTCAAAGATTTAATTATTTTATTGTTATGTATATGAGCCATTTGTCTGCATGTATGTGTGTGTATGACTTGCATGCCTGGTGCCTGCAGAGGCCAGAAGAGGGCATCAGATCCCCTGGAACTGGAGTTAGAGATGCTGTGAGCTCCTGCATGGGTCCCTGGAATGTAATCCTCAGCCAGTGCTCTTAACCACGGAACCCTCTCTCTAGTCCCCTCATTTAAATTCATAGCCATCTTTTGAAGCTGCTTTCAGAATTCACCAAACCGTACAAATGGCCATTGGAAAGACGATGAAGTGCAACTCTCCTTTGAGAAACCACATCCATACTTTTAGGTATGCTTTGCTTGTTTCCTGAGCATCTCTTTCTTAATTACTATACTAAATCTACACTATAGTCCTCATTTTTTCAACTTTTGTGTGTGCACATGTTCATGTATGTTTGTGTATGGACATTCGTGTGCCTTGTGGAGGTCAGAGTACAATTTGGGGTAGTCTGTTGTCTCCTGGGACCATCTGGGATCAAACTCTAGTCTACAGGTTTGGTCTAAGTGTCCTTACCTGCTAAGTTACCTTGCCAGTCCTAAAAATGCCTTTAAAAATTTAGATTCATTTATGTGTATGAGTGTTCTCCCTCCATGTATGTGCACCACATGTGTGACTGGTGCCCTCGGAGGTTAGAAGAGGGCATCAGATCCCCTGAAACTGGAGTTATGAATGATTTTTCAGGTAAGACAGTAAACCTGACATTGTTTTTGCTTGTTTGTTTGAGACAGAGTTTCCCTATGTAACAGCTCTCACTGCCCTGAAAATCACTTTGTGGACCAGGCTGCTCTGGAACTCACAAAGGAGCCTGCCTCTGTCTCCTTAGTGCTGGGATTAAAGGCGTGTGCCACTCCCACTGGACAAACCTGACATTGTTTATCTACTTTAGTTAAGTCTCTGGTTATTTGGAGCAAAAACCCTCTCACTGATATACACATAATTATCATAGCTCCATCAGAGACTGGGTAGGCAAACTCTTTGCACTATACAAAATATTTTCATTCAGCTTATAGACTTATTGAGGGCTATTCATATGGCAAGTACAGTGCAAATTGCTGAATCAAAGAATATGGAAAAGTCTTTACCCAGGGAGGTTATAATCTAATGGCAAATATAGCAAAAGTGGAGGCAGGAATATTATTGAGGTACATCCATGACTAATCGGGACAAGGAGGTCAGAGAAACCCCCAGGAAAATACAGTGAAGTAACAAATGAAGAATCCATGCAGTATCCATATAATCTATTTGTGAATTTCTTTGAATTTAATTTGTAACGTGGTCTGATTTTAGTTGGGTAAGAATTATGTGTATAAATGTTAAGTGAACTGGGTTGGGTGGTGAATGACACTTGGCAGGTGGTGGCATCAAGGTCATGAGTTCAAGACCAGCTTTAGCTATAGTGAGTTTGAGACCAGCTTTTGCTACATGAGACTCTGAAAAGGCCAAACTATTACTGTTGCTAATAGTGATGATGACAGTAATTTTGGGTGCGCGCGCGCGCGCGCACACACACACACACACACACACACACAAATAAGAAAAATCAATATTGAGGGCCAGATTATCTTTTCCTTTGAAGCAAATATAGAAGTGGCAAACTAATACTGAAGATAGTGCAATGGGAACCAAGGCATTTAGTATCCTTGACAGAGTCTGCCTAAATGTCTAAGGCTGGAAACAGCACGGTGCGTACTAGAAGCTGCTAAGAATTTCCACAGAAGATCAAACATCACGAAGGCGGTGGCTTCCTCCCTCCACCAGTTTTACTATGGAAAATGTCTAGTGCACACAGAGACACAAAGAATTCTTCATCCAGCGCGCGGCATCAACAGTCATCATTTCCACCTCCCACTTGCCAGCGAAATTCCGAAGTCAATTCCAGCTGGCCTTTCTTTGGACGTACTCTAAAGCAAAGGCTTGGGAGCCAAGGCACTTGGTGTCCTAGTGGCAGCTCTTTGTCTTAAAACAGTCAGCCAAACGGAGTTTGGGAGAAGTAACTGCCATAGCAGACAGAGGAGTCAGCAGAGCCTCCAGGACGACGCTTCCTCTACAAGCCCAGCAGGCAGCGGCCTTCTAGGGCCCGGACGGTTTCGGGTCCGCCCACCGGTCCCAGCAGCCCCCGCGCGCCCTCGCCCAGGCCCGGGTTCGTGAGCGCGCGCGCCGTGCGTCCTGGGCTCGGGGGCGCGCTCGCTGGCCTCCGGCTCGTTCGTTCCGGAGTCGGCCTAGAGCTGCGGGAGCGGGAGGACCGTGTAGCCCGCCATGTTCTCCTTGGCGCTGCGGGCCAGGGCGACCGGCCTCACCGCTCAGTGGGTAAGAGGCTCGGGGTGACCCCGGGAGCTGTCGCCGCAGTCGCCCGGCCGCCGTGCCTCCCTCAGCTTTGGTTCCGGGCGACCCCAGGGCGCCGGACAGGTCAGCTGACGGCGGCAGGGACGCCGCGGCCTTCGTCCTCTGAGCCGCTGGGATGCTCCGCGGCGGTGGTGGCGGCGGGTTGCGGGCCGGGAACTTCACCTCTAGCTTAGTCAAGGTCAGGAAGGCGGTTGTCGTTTGTCCTGGCGCGGACCCTAGTCCGGCCCTGCCGCTTCCAGGGTCCCGGCAGCGAAGAAAGGGGCTCCTTGTCGGGCTGCGCTGGAACAGAACTAGAAGACGCTGCTGTGCTAGGTGAAGGCTTGCTGAGTTGCTTCAGGCCTGGATAAAGGTGACCAGTGTTTCATTTGCTGCAGTTGTTCATTCATTATAGGAAATGCTCCGCGGAAAGTCGTAGGAATTAACCTTGAAAGAACAGTGCCATGAATAACTGTACTGACGAAAGAGTCGCAGTTTTATGGTCATTTACGTTTCAGGTACATCTCAGATAGGCAAAGGAATTGAATTGAGGTCGAAACCCTCCAGTGAACCCCAGAATGCAGATTCCAGGGCCTGCGAGCTAGCATGGAAAGGTGCCGCTGGCCTCCAGGTGTGAGGACCTGAGGTCAGTGCCCTGAACCCATATAATGGAAGGAGAGAACCACTCCGACAGGTTGTCCTCTGACCTTCAAGGGCATGACTTGTGTCTGGAGAGTGCTGGACACACAGAAATTAATGGCTACTGTAATTAACTACAGGACAGTTACAGGAAAGAAAGAAGCCTTGTTTGTTTGGGTTTTGTTTTCCCAGTAGTAAAACTAAAATTAAGTTAGTTCTCAGCAAAAGATACATGTATATATATTTATATGTGTTTGTGTAATATATATTATATATATAAGTATAGAATCCATTCGGGCCCTTAGACGTAGACCTGCATTTCGAAGGGTAGTGTCACCCATGACCTTCTGTAGATACGTGACCTAGGGTATTTAATCATTGTTTCTTCAGCTGAGAGATGGGGATATTCCCATTTGCGCCTGAGTCTGTCAGTAATGCTTTTGGAGCTTTTCGGTGGGTTAATGTACTGGTAGGTCCAGGTCACCGTGTGGATTGGATCATAGTATTTTCTTTCTGTTTTGAGGCTAGGCCTCACCAGGCAGCCCTGGCTGGCCTGGAGCCTGCTGAATGTGCCATGTTGGTGTTGAACTTTTGGTGATCCCTCCTGCCTCACCTCTTGAGTGCTGAGATTACAGGCGTGCGCTGCCATGCCCTGCTGGAGTGTAATCGAGTGGTGATGCTTGGTGGCACTTTCCTGTGTGTCCTGTAGCCTCATTTGACTTCTTGTTTTTGAGGGCGGTGCAGTGTTTTCATCACTGTAAGTTAGAATTCCCATTTTTGTGGGGGTTACTTCGTGTAAGAACGTAAGATCATGTGATATGGTTGGTCACATCTGACCTCCCAGGAGTCAGAGGCTGGGGGATCAGAAGTAGGTTCTCTTCCGCTGTATGGTGAGTTTGAGGCCAGCCTGGGCTGTATAAATTCCTGTCTATAAAACATTCCCAGCTCAAATCCAAGCCCCCTAAAATAAACAAAACAAAAGGTAAAGATGGCAGCGTAGTGTAGTAAGGGGTCAATGAGAGGTTTACAGCAAAGGGTAAGGGTTCTGCTTTGAGTAGATGAGGTATAGGGGTGAGGGTAGAAGAGTCCCACTGGAGTCAGAAACCGGAAGGTGACACAGGTGAGAGAGGCTCTTGAAAACAGTTCAGATGAAAGACGATGAGATTCTACCAACAAGGATGAAAAAGTACCATAGATAGCTTTTGTTTCTTTTGTTTTTGAGGCAAAGTGTAATAGAGGTAAAAAGTGAAAAGCAGCATTTTTGTTTTATGGGTGTGGTTTTCCTTTTTCTTTTCTTTTTCTTTCTTTTTGACAGGGAGTTTCTATGTAGCCTTGGCTGGATTGGAAGGAAGACCAGCCTGGCCTCAAACTCAGATCCACCTGTCCCTGCCTCCCAAGTACTGGGTTGCCACACCTGTCGTGAAAAAGCAGTTGAACAATGAAAAAACAAAACAAAACACAAAACTATAGAAAATTTAAAATTACATGTTTTTGCAATAGAAAACACAGTTTTCATAAATTCAGTTTATTATGTAATCTGCACACACAAACAAACGAACAAAAACTAGGATATTGAACACAACAAATAAAATACGCCCAGAAAATATGAATCAATTATATTATCATTTTTATGTTTATCTCTGTGTGTGTGTGTGTCTGCATCTGTCTGCGTCTATGTCACATTGCATGTAGGAGTGTGAGAACCCATGCCAGGTGTTAGTTGTCTTATGCTATTGCTCTGTGCTTTTTTTTTGAGACAGATTTTCTCTGTGTAATAGCTCTGGCTGTTGTGGAACTAGCTCTGTAGCCGGAGCTAGCCGCTAACTCACAGATCTGACTGCCCCTGCCTCTTGAGTGCTCTCTGTTTTATGGCCTTGAGACAGGTTCTCACTGAACCAAGCTTTTGACAATAGAGCTCTTGGGACTCTGCCTCTGCCTAGCAGTGCTAGGCTTACAAGCCTATGCAGTCATGTCCATTTTTATGTGAGTTCGGGGGATTTGAACTCAAGTCCTCAGGTTTGCACAGCACATAATTTTACCCACTGAGCCGTCTCCCCTTAATTTATTTTAACAAAATTTGGAAGGAATTATTCATGGTTTTGTAACTGCCTTTTCCCATATATATGTGGGGTTTTTTTGTTTTTGTTTTTTTTTTTTGGTGGGGGAGATGGAGAGGACAGGGTCCTAATGTAACACAGGCTAGCCTCGGGCTTTATATAGCCACTGATGGCTTTGAACTCATCATCCTGTTGCCTTTACCTTCCAAGTGCAGGGAATTACAGGTCTGTGCTACGATAGAGCCTCTTAATTACATGTACCTGTGTGTTTGAGTTTGTACATAGCTGAACTCTCTGGCACTGGAGTTCTAGGTAAGCACCTAGAGCCACCAGACTGAGGACTCAGGTCCTCCTTGAGAGCAGTGAGTGCTCCTGGCCCCAGCCTTCTCTCTGGCTCTTGTTTGCTTTTTGAGACAGGTTTTCACTCCTCTCCAAGTTGCTGTGCAATCACTAGTTAGTCCTGGCTGACCTCTAGCTTGCAGCATTCTGCCCCAGCCTCCCAAGTCCTTCACACATTGAAGCTTATTAGTAAGCATTTCTATACTGTCATTTTTTCCTTTTTATTTGTGAGCATGTTTGTGTTTGTGTGGGCATGTGCCATGTTGGAGGGAATGCTCAGAGGGACAGATTGGGAGTCAGTTCTCTCCTTTGACCCTGGGCAGCCCAGGGATCAAACTCGGGTCAGATCAAACTCGGCTTGGTCTTTACTGGCTGAGTAGTGTTTCGGGCTCCTCTGTACTGTCATTTTAATGCTGGGTGGCCTTGCATTGGTGGATGTTGTATAACTTATATGCTCTTTCACAAACATGGGATATCAGAATGATCTTACTAAAAATCAAAAGAGGAGTAAGGTCTAATTAAGAAAGTTCTTTTCCTGAGAGAAACTGAGCACATTTTTCTGTATTTTTAAATTATGTGTGTGGGTGGTATGTGTGAGGGCAGGGGCCCTCTGAGGTCAGAGAGGGTTTTGAGCTCTTGAGCTAGAGCTATAGGCTGTGTGAGTTGTCTGATGTGGGTGCAGAGAACCGAATTTCCCCACTCTGGAAGAGAACCAGGTGTTGGACTACTGAGCCATCTCTTCAGTTAACAGTTTCTGCTGTGCTAACTGGCAATTCTTCTCTTCCGCCTTATTGTGTCCTTAAAAACCTGTGCCTGTTAGCTGGGGTAGAGCGAGGGTGGAGCACTTGTCACTGGTTGGGTGACAAGTTTGAGCCCCTGCAGTGCAAATACAGGTTGACACAGAAGTCAGCAGTAGTTGTGAGTGTGAGGCGGTACAGACTCAGAACAGACTTGCTCTCTTTTGTAGTTTGGCAATGGCCCATGCCTCCTGTAATGTTGACACCACTTTAGGACTCAGCATGGCCTCCTTCCCAAGCCACTGCTTTCAGTCTTCCCCTTGACAGTGGGCTTTGTGCTGTCACACCCACACGCTCCCCGCAGTGAACCATTCTGAATTGCATCCTGGCTGCTGTGGATATGTGAGTTATTTAGGCACTACATTCTAACTTACTTCTTTAAGAAATGTCCATCCTCCTTGGCATGAATGGCAGACCAAATATTGGTTCTGTTCTTTTAGCTGGGCTGCTTAGAGTCTGTCATTACGCAGGAGTCAGCCAGAGGTCGGAGTAGTTTCTGTCTCCATTTTGGCACTTCCTTTCCTGGGATTTTCCAATTGTCCATTGCCCACCCCATGTATATATATCTAAAACCATATATATTATATAAACCTATAAATATCAGTAAGCATAAATATATATATCTTAAATTTATTTATTTATAGTTGCTTAGCATAGGCAGAACAGGGCTGCCTTCATGCTAAAAGTTAAAAACCAAAACATGCTGTTTTGTTTTGGCTGGTTGTTTCGTACTCTCTTCGCCAAATTTAAGTTTTGTGACATAAAATGCTTTTTCTGTTATATTTCTCTTGTTTTTTGTTTTGTTTGTTTGTTCATTTGTTTTTGGTTTCTTTGTAGAAAAGGCTTGCACTATCCTAGGCTGGCTTAAAACTGATAGTCCTCTTAGCCTACTTCTCAAGTGTTGGGATTACAGCCACCATGCCTGCCTTACACTAGAGATTTTTGGTTTGTTTGAGACAGGGTCTGTCTGTGCAG